ACTGCAGAAAATTACGCTCGGCAAGTGCTGCGCCCGTAGTCAGTGGCAGCGTTCGATACTAGCTGTGCATACCACCACCCCGCGCGCATTAACGGCGGTACCGCACCATGGTCAAAACAGGTTCTCTATCGCAGCCGACCGCCCGTGCATAGTTTATAAATAACCAGATAAGAAAATGATTATTATATTTGTGACAAATAATATTTAATTTGGTTCGATTTTATATTTTGTATTCGTATCCGAATTTTATACAAACTATACTTTTGTTCTTCAAGTAGGTAATAGTGTAATACGGCTTATTGAAGCGGTTTGCAATAAAAATACCTATTATAAAAATTGTAGAGGAGAATTTTTTTAACAATCGTAAGGAATCCGATTTTTGATATCGTATTCCAATCGTCCAATATCGCATGATAAATTAACAATTTTTTTTTTTTTACTTTTTATCGATTAATTATTTAACTCATTAATAAAAATATAAAAAATCGGGCTTATTTCGATTATTAAAAAAATTCTTCTCTCCAACTTTTATAATAGGTATTTTTACTGTTAACTGCTTCAATAAGCCGTATTACTTGAATTACGAAACCATATTTTGTTCACTAGGCCAAACTCTTCTTATCCGAATTTTATACAAATAAAAACTACTTTTGTTCTTCAATTAATACGGCTTATTGAAGAGGTTTACAGTAAAAATACCTATTATAAAAGTGGTAGAGGAGAATTTTTTTAACAATCGTAATAAATCCGATTTTTAATATCGTATTCCAATCGTCCAATATCGCATGGTAAATTAACATTTTTTTTTTTTACTTTTTATCGATTAATTATTTAACTTATTAATAAAAATATAAAAAATCGAGCTTATTTCAATTGTTGAAAAAATTCTTCTCTAAAACTTTTATAATAGGTAGTTTTGCTGTAAACTATTTAAATAGGCCGTATTACTTGAATTATCGAACAATTTGGGTATGATAAAAAAAAGAAATAGGTAGGTACTCAAAAAACCATTTATAACAATTAACAGAAATCATTCAATGTAGACAATCTAAGCCACAACCAGGTAAAGTGGTACATATTATAAATTGAATATAATTTGCGAAAGGATATTTTAAATAGTCCATATTTTGCAAACACTTTAATTGTGCCCGATATTTTTGCACTGGAAGAAAGTTATACGAACTGAATTTGATCGACGAAGTAATGCAAAGTGGTTTGATGAAAGAAATTACAACTGCACTTAGACGTGTTGCTGATAATGCAAAAAGTTTATTACTTGATGTTGATAACAACATCTGCGAACAGTTTAATAGTGTCATTAATAAGCACATAGGCGGTAAACGAATTAATTTTTCTCAAAAACAGTCGTACACCACTAGAATATATACTGCTGTACTGCTATAGTATCATTTAATACAGGTGGCAATTATATACGAGAGCTTCACAAAAAGATAACAACCAAAAGTCCAGGTACATTATTTAAAAAGTACCTACAGTGAGTTTAATTAATTAATTTTAATTTTATAATATTATTATGGCATGAATTAGAATTTAATTGAAATTTTGAGTTTTTTACAACAACGCTTTCAAATTAAAATTAAATAAATACTACCAAAACTTATATTTCACATTTCACATTTTTATATTTTGGTATATCGTATTAGCTATGAGTAAATTAAAAATTGAAATAATTTGTATATTAAAGGTGTATAGGCACAATAATAAAATAAATAAAATATTTCATTATGAATTATTTTTCAGTATTTATAATGTATGAATAGTATTAATTTATTATTATTATTATGTGGGTAATTGTTTTAATATTATTATATGTGTATAGGAATCATAGCCAAAAATTTTTTGAAGCATACGCAGGGCCGGATTTAAGGGGCGGCAAAATTATCTCAGATAAAATAAACAAAAAATTAATTTTTTATGAAAAGAGAAAGATTTCTAAAAAATGATACATTTTATTACTATTTATTTTTTAAATTCACATATGCATACGTTTTTTTTTACCTATATTTTATCATTTTAAATAAAGAAAAATAAACGTTATTAACTAAGTAGGTAGGTACCTACTAGGTATCATGGAAGATTCTAGGTAGATAGTACCTAAGACCTAAGTTATAAATTAGTTACTTATGTTTTTTTGTATAGTTTACCTACTATTAAAAATCTAATATTGGAATGCATAGGTACCTATAGTTAAAATTGCTAAAAATTAACTGCAAATTAAATTTCAATGAGAAAGGGAAACATAAAAAAGGTGGGCAAGTGGCCAGTGGGTGTCGCTCTGCTGTACAGTAGGTTACAAGTCTGTCACTGTATAATGGATAGTATTAAATTTTAATTCAATGATATAATATCATTGTATAAGAAAAACGATTCTGAGCGGAGATGGTATGTCAGTCTAGGTATAAGACATAATATTGTATACATATCTATGGTATTAGAAAAAAAATTGACCTATAATAGCTAGTAGGTACCTATAATAAATTCCAAATTAATCATATCACAATATCCATTAGGTGCTGATAACGCGTTATACATCAACAACATACCGTGATACTATCATAGATATATAATAGCACACTTTAGAAGTTTCAAGTACTCACGAATAACATTATTCAATCACAACAAAATAACTAAAATAGTTATTCTAGGTTTTTTAATATGTAATTTCGTCCAAATTTGAATTTAAAATTTCTGTAAAAAATAACTGTGTTCATATATTTTTTAGATTTTTTGGTTACAGTATGAACTATTTATGAGAACCTTTGTTTTAAATTTGCAATCCTTAGCTATAAAAACTGAACATTTTATAATTTATTAATTACAATGATTTATAATTTTCGAGATTTTGATACATTTTGTCAAAATTCGATCTTTAAATGCTTATAAAAAAAAACTGTGCCTATGTATTTTTAATATTTTTCAACTGATATTGTAACAATATATCAGGAGACTTGTATTAATTTTTTACACTTTTTGGCCCAATAGATAAAATTTTATTGATATTTATAGAAAAAAAACTAAAAAAAATTGAAAGATGTAAATGTCCATAAACAGCTCAAAAAGAGTAAAAATATTTTCAAAATTGTATGGTGTATAGGAAATGCTAATATAAATATTCAGTGAAATTTTCATGTATCTAAAGTTATTCGTTTTTGAATTACAACAAAATAAGGAAATCGCTACATGAGAAATCGAGTGAATATTCAATGTTGTAAAATTTTGAATTTCAAACGCTCTTAAAAATTTAATTTGACTTTCTTATATACATTTTTTTTTTGATAAGGGTAGATAATCTTATAAGGAATCTTGTATTACATTTTCAAATCTTAGATTTAAAAAGAAAAATTTTTACGAATTTCTAACTCAAAATAATTTGCTAATTTTAGTGATTTTTCGATATTTTGTCAATTTTTGAACTTTAAATGCTTATAAAAAAAAACTGTGACTAAGGATTTTTAATATTTTTCATCTGCCTTTGAAAAAATATACTAGGGGCCTTGTATTAAATTTTCAAGCTTTTTTAACCAACAAATAAAATTTTATTGATATTTCTAGAAAAAAAACAAAAAAAATGGAAAATGAAAATGTCCCTAAACAGTTCAAAATAAATCAAAATATTTTGAAAATGTTATCGTATATAGAAAATGCAAATATAAAAAACCAGTGAAAATTTCATGTACCTAAGGTCATTTTTTTAAAGTTACATCAAAAACTAAATTCAATTTTGTGAAAAATCGATTTTGCGTAAAAATTCCCGTTTTTCCTTAATTTTTATGTTGTTTTTCCCGGTGCTTTTGAAAATTACTGAGCATTTTAAATTTTGACCTCCCAATGCACCAACGATATTCACTTTCCAATCGAACAAGATACTGAAGTTGAAAATCGAAGCATTATTTCTACTACTTATCGTGTACACAGACACAAAAAAAAAAAGAAAACTATAAATTATATTATACTTGTTGAACTAATATTAATTTTTTTCATGGTTAAATAATAGGAAATTGTTGCGCGTTACCCTTTTATTATATTAATATAGGTAATATGATTATAATTTCTTTTTTAAATATAAATGTGGTGATAAATAATATAGGTCACATACTAAATCTATTTATTGATTTTATCCATTTGATAAACTGTAATTCATTGGATTGTGTAATACTTATAATATAGTAGTTTGTATAGTAGGTAATTTTAAACTAACAGTTACTTATAGAAATAATTTTTTAATAAATTTATGTTACAATTTGTTATAATTATATTTTACAACTATACATTTTAAATTAGTTATTTTTCTCAGTCAATGTACCCGATCTCTAAAAATTACAGAATGATAAATAAAGATTTTAGTGTACCTATTATTATTATCATTACGAGTAGATTACCTATAATTATTATATTACTATATTAGGTATACGTTAGGTAATAGGTATACCTACTACAAACATATTATTAATTTAAATAAATATTTGTAATTACTTATTATCATATTTTAATATAACATTAACAGTTGAACTTAAAAAATAATACACGGTAAATTAATATTAATTTAATTGCGCTGTTTTTATTTTATTTACCATTTATTAGATTTTACTATAAGTATTATATTTAAATAAGTAATAATTCAATAACTTCAAATCAAGCTATGTTATAATACAGTTTCTACGGTCTACATGTTGGGACATAAATTTAAGTAAACAGTATCTTAATTTATAATCTGTAGTTCGTAGGTACGCGAGGGTATTGAAAATATTACGGCGGCATTTGCGTATAATGAATTATATAATGATACGAATGGTACTGGACGAACGTTCATAGACAAATAAACGGCGCTCCCGAAGTCCCGAACGAGCACTCGTCGCCGCCGTCGGCCGGTTGCGAATAGTAGGCGTGACTTAAACGCCGCGCGCTTGCGGATCGTGAAAACACCTAACAGCGCATCCTCTCGGTCGTTGCATGCGTACAGCTTTGGGTGACACGTCCTCTTAAGTAAACTTGTCATTTATAGATGACAAAACAGCAGTCATTAAATCATGATCCGTACTCAAACCATACAGGTGTAGTTGTAGAAACATCCACGATTCATGGCATTCACGTGGATAGGCGCAGTTAAAAGAAAAATACGACTTAAAACATAAATCAATTGCTTTCAAAGGGCAATTAAAATACCATAAATGATTGTCTACACGAACATAGCACTGATCAATAGAAAAAATATCTTTACCAGAAATTATAATGTATGGTTGTACGTGGGCACCATATTGAATATATTTGACTCTTCTTTGTTGAATCTCTGACTCCAGTTGAGTTATGTTCTATTTAAAAAAAAAAATACATTAATTATATTTATATATATGAAATGTATAATAATATGTAGTATGTACATACAGCAATATGTACAATGAAAGCAGCAGCAGACTCTCCACATGAAGGTTTCCAATTTTTTTTCGCACTTTTAAGATCAGTAGATCTAATAATTGTTTTTGTAGGTAGTAAATATGGTATTAGTTGACATTTTAAAATGTTTGCAACACCAATATCTAGACAAAATGAAAATATTAAATGTATTATAATATTATGCTTTGTGTACCTTATAATCATTAAGAAAATATATTTCACTTACTCCCAGATTGTTGAACATGATCTAGTTGTTTCAGAAGATCTTTTGCAACCTTATCTTTGACCGAATTTTTCCTCACACTGACTAATCTATCTGATATAAAGATCCACTTATTTAAAAATGAACTCCAATCAGGAAATAATTCTTGTTGAGTTGGATACAAAATATTAAAATCTTCAGAAACCTATAAATGTTGAAAATGTAAATAATATGGTAGGTATGTAAAAAATATCATTGTAAAAGATACTTACTAATTCATAGCCTCTTGGACTTTTTAGAATGGGCCAATTGAGAAAAACGTCATACACTGTTGCTTTAGAATCTGCATTCAATATTTCTGACTTTCTTATATTGTATGTTAATCTCCATTTATCTTTAACACTATCAAAATTAGCAGATAAACCTTCTTCCTGAAGCCACAGTTTAGCAGCTTTTAAATCATCTATACAAATAAACAAGAAGTTAATAATTTGATTACCTACCCACTAAATATTTTATCTTGGTTTATTTTATTTTTTTTAGATTTTATTTTGGCTTAATAATTAAATAGAGCAATAAAATGTATGCATATAAAAGCACTGTGTTTACTGATATTACCAGAAAATACTGCAGCCGGTTCAATAGAATTAGAAGTAGTTTTTTTTCTGCCAAGTTCTATTGCACCTACACTTCTAAGCCTTCTTGCTACATTTTTCCATCTTTCAATGAGCTTCCCTTTGGCATGACATTGGTGTGTTCCTTCAGATTTTGAAGGAATAAAATAAACTCTCTATAAACAAATAAAAACTTGAGTTGATTATGATTACTAGTTGTTTTTTAAAAACATTATCCAGAGTAATTTAATTTGCACAGTGTGTAAATTGGATTTATACTTGATTACCTAACTTATTTTTGGAATATTAAAGGAATTTTACTAGGTTATAACATACATAATATGTATTATAAATTATATAAAATAAATAAAGAAGTATAAGATTATACAACTACTTACTTCTTTTTCCTGAGGAAATACTTCAACAATAAGTTTGGAAATCTTTCGGAAATATAAGTCAGAACCCCTATAACAAATGTTATTGCAATAATCTTGTGAACGTATACATTTTACTATAATTATTAATTTATAACTCAAGAAATTACTTATATATATTATATAGGTTAATAGGTAGTTATAATATGGCAATATTTTAAATCACTAACACTAATTAATTATGATAGATTTCATGTTTTAAGTGGACTTAACATTTATGTCTTAATGTCTTATCATAGATTTAAATTAAGTATTGTATGAAATAAATGTTATAATTTGAATAGGTAGTAAAAATAATTTTTAACTATTCAAATAATAATAAATATATTATAGAACAAAAGGTAGGTAATTTTTATTTAAATTTAACTTCCTAGCACTACCAGAATTGTTTTATACCTACTTGCATTTATCCTGAAATAAATTATTAATTAAAAGCTTGGTAAGGATGTTTTGTGCGTCATCTGACAAACTACCATTATTATTTTCTGAATCGGCTAAGATGTATCGGCCGTCGTTTGTTGAATGTAATAGTTCTAACACTGTCTATGATTACAAATGAAAGATATTGTTATAAAAAAAACTGTTAACTAAATTGGTTTTGAACTATTATTATAGGTACTTGAACATTCCAATTTAAAGTCTTGCAGTATGATGCAGATTTGGGTTGCAGTGCTAAATTTAAATATGTTGAGTTTATTGTTGATGTCCCAGTAAAATATGGTTGAAGATTTAACTCCTCAGAAGTTATATTTTCAATATTTAATTGTTGATTTGGAGTATTATAGGAAATGTCTTGCAATTCAGGGTTTTGAAAGGGTAATACATCTTCATCCAACTCCTATACATTTGAGATTGAATATTTTACAAAAAAAAATTAATAAATGATCCTAGATTTATAAAATACATATATAAACTTTTTTTGGTTTATGCAAGGCATAGAGCATGCTCAGTGGGGCCCATTATTCTTTGAAATGAACGCTAATAATAATAATATATAAGTATAATAAGTTGATAAGTTGTATTAACATTAAGATGAATTATACCAAATAAAATAAATAATTAAGTAATTAATAACCAAACACAATTCACTGGGAATTGATTTTATTTGTATGAGATTTGTAACTAGGTATTTATTTTTTAATCTTACAAAATATGCACCTGTGCTGTGTGTTAAAGAAATAAAGATTTACTTTATTAAAAAATAAAATAAAATATTATGTTTATGCATTATAAATTATTGGGTGTAGTGGGTTGCTTATTGCTTAATAACTAATAACCACGGTATATAATATAATAATAATATAATATACCGTGCTAATAACTAATAAGCAATAGGTACCATACATAGATTTCTATACTAAACCAAAGTCATGTAAACTAATCTAAATACTAAATAGCCTAAGTAATTTAAGATCTTATTAATCTAAATTGATCTAAACTATAGTATAGAAATCATTGCTTAATAATTAGCAGAAACTTAAAATATTTAATATTATGTTTCCGTAGTAGAGTAGGTAATCTGAAAAACACTATAGGTACATTTATAACATTTTAATATGTAAGCATAACACTTACCTGAAAAATACTTTGAACAATGGACATAATTGCAATTTAATACTGGTAACAGGTAAGTAATAGGTATTACTTATTTCTAACATATACAGCACAAACTTCACCAGTTAAAACTTAAAAAAGTCTCCACTGAACTTAAAACACGTGAAATAAAACGGATAAACGGTTATGTCGTCGGTCGTCAACACTCGTTCGCATTGTCTTGGCGTATTTACCGTCGTGGCGTCGTTGCAACATTAATCTCATGGCAGAAAAGTTATATTGTAAAATAATAATAATTATTGTAAACATTAAAAACTATTAATAACACTTTCGAAAAATATACGTGATGGAAATATATACGTATAATATATTATATCTAATTGTATCACTCACTACAGCCCACATCATAATTACCACGAAATCAACAAAATAATTAATTCAATTAAAACTTTTTGGTGTTAAATTAACAACACTGAGTTTTAAAATATAATAATATTCATTGTTGACTTAAATTCAATTTTTGTTAAACTCAATTATTAGTGTTTTTATATTGAATCAGTCTATTGTGTTTAAAGTAATAGCTTGTATGAATTTCGCATAAGTATTATTGCACTTAATATTCAACTAATTAAATGCCAAAACTACACATATTATACTCAAATTAAATTGTATTGTTTATTTATTTTAATAGTTAGTTGATATTATGATTTTAATTTTCCAATCAAGGTTATTTTAACAATGTTAAGTTGTACCGTAGTAATATGATGCTGTTGAAATAATACCATTTCATTGTTCACTCAGACACACATTTTGTCATAACAACTAACATAGTATATATTAAATTAAAATAGTATAAATCATTTGAATTCATTGTAATTGATTATTAACGTAACACCTATAAATGTTTATATGACATTAACAAATTTCGATACAATTTCTTCTCAACATTTGTTATGAATTCTGATTATAGTCATGAGAAATGTTTTGGGTTAACACTTTGAGAGAGTTATTTTGAACTCATTGGCCACTGACTTTAAATATCAGCCCATCAACACTGTAAAATAGGTTAATATAACTCCTAAATTTCTATGTGTGTATAATACGCATAATACATAATAGTACCTATACTATATATATTAGTATTGAGTTTGAACTTGCAAACGTTTATTTTCTATTTTTATCTCGTACCTACGTATTATATTAATATATTAGTTAGGTACCAACTTCTAATATTCTCGTTTTTGTTTCAATAATTATTTGTTTTTAATTAAAAACGCCCGATTTGACGTCGAATACATCAATACATTGTCATGCCCATAATATATTAATACATGTACTTAAAAAAAAGGATCGTACCTATGCCGCATGCCTAGAATTAGTAAATCAGATACGGAATGCTTTAAGGCAGATATATACCTGAAGCGGAAATGTGGTTTTGACCCTGAATGCTCTGTGTAACCCAATCGTAATACCTACGTCGTATAATAATATTACGTCTATTTAGCAATCTGTGTGTATACCATATACCGCGACTACCCGATGACTACCCGATGACCCAATATGTACGTGCGTCAACGTCTGTCGTGGACGGCGCGGGGCGTAGATGAGATATCCATATTGTTTTCTTTAATTTATTATTTATTTATTAAATACCTATATGGCTATATAGAATGATATGTACAATAATATTATACGACAATATACAATAATAATATATTGATACGTATCGTTTGGATTCTGCAGATACAGATCACCTAATTAGTATTGTATTCGAATTCGAAATGCGGCATGTCGTCCAATATCGTCGCGCGAGCACCAACCTTGTACACAAATTCGATAAAACGAACGCTCGATGTGCATTTTTGTAGTGCGCTCGTGCGCATGTGCATGCTTATAACTGCATTGAAATCTCCCACCCGACTCCGCCCGGGTGCTGCAGTTAGTTTGCTGCATTTCGTAAATAATTAACTTATACTTACACGTAACACGTGTACGTTCGAGAGCGTGTATAGCCGTGTACCTATAGTGTTTATTATATATATATAAAGCTCTCGTCCGCTCGTTCCATTATTAGACGTTGTCAAAATGTCAAGGCCGATCCTCGCAATTGATTTGATTGGGTTACCCCCATACGTGAAAATTTCATTAGGATGTGCCTACGTGTGTTTTTTTACCATACGTGTATGCGTGGTGTTCCGCGGCCAATGGTTCACAAACCGTGGATGTATTCATTATTATACACTATGCATTTAGGTATATAATACGTTTATTACGTAGGTATACGTGGGTAAACGGTATATTATGATGTGTATTTCGATTCGCCAAATCAAATTTACATTACGTTTGCAGTATATTTTATATAATTTGAAGAAGTCTGCGGGTAATATTTTAATATTAATAGTATGCCCGAGTGCAACACTTTACCTATACAGTTGACTGTAACACGATATTCTCTCAAAATATCTTTAGGCGGGGGGGGGGGATAAATAAAATGACACTCGAGCAGAGTGTACACCTTCTCCTCATCTCCCAACTAAACCCACAGGTCGATATGTTGCTGTATAGTATAATTATTGACATCTCTTAAGTCACACATATAACTATCGCAACCCAACAGTTCGATTATATGCAGTTATAACTTATAATGTACCTATGAGATATTATATTGCAATTAAATATAATATTATTTTATTTGTGAACATTTTACGTGGATCGAACAAAAACTATAACATAATATATAATAATTCATAATACATTTCACGTCTTACACACGCATGAAGCATGAGGCATCCCTTATCTATATGTCTTATTCCCTCACATAAGTCAAATATTATACTAACGTAATATATTACAATATACCGACGTTTAGTGTTTACAATATTTTTTTTCGAATTTTAAACCTATAAAACTACATAAAAAAAACATAAAAAAACACCGACGAGAGATTATAGATAATATTTTTGTAGGATATTTATGGTAGGTTGGAAATGTGGATCATATATTATTTAGAGTCTACCTATATTATGTGTTTGCGTAAAGACGGCGATAATGAATAATTCTACCACACTGTTACGTCTCCTTAATGTAAACCTAACCTAGCCTTACCAATGTCCTCTAATTTATTGTACAACCTTACTTTTATTTCTGAGTGGAGCTAGCGTATTGTATTGGTTATACAGTGGTCAATGCCCAATGGCGTGTGGTTGTTTTTTTGTTCGCGTCATCTCTTGAAGCAGTAAAAAAGTTTCAGTCTTCAACTTTGAAGGGTTTTAAATTATATCTGGTTGGTACTTTTTTGTGGTGAACAATTTCCAATCCTTTTCAAAAATATAGTATTTAAATACGGAAAAATGGAAATTACTTATCACACCTGCTGCAATTTTCCGTAAATACTTTAAATTGTCAGCAAATATTTATGTTAGCATTTCCTAGGTGGGATATAATTTAAAAATATTTTGCCTATGTTTATGCTATTTATATTAACAGTTGAAATATTCTACTATTTAGTTTTTTTTCAATATAAATTGCCAACATAGGGCCGAAACTCTATTTCGGTAAATTGGTAAATTGGTGTTTATATAATCGTTTGAAGTCCGATATTCAAAATAACGATTTTAGTTATGTTGTACTAATTAAAAAAAATACTAAACGTAGAAACTTGAAACATTCCACTGGCTATTACTTAAATTATAATGTTAAAAACACATCATAGGCATTTTCAAATGTTTACCCTAATTTTAAGCTAATTAATTTTTAAACCATGAACCTATATTTACATTTTACACTATTCTGTGGTACAGCGTTGGTATTGACAATTTACATAGCCACAGGTGAAACTACATGTCAGACCATGGCCTGACTGAATACAGTATGACCTAATATAATTTAAAATTAAAAACTTAATATGTAATTATAATTTTTTTTATATTCATCATTTGGCCTGTCCTATAATACAATTTTCTAGTTTTGCGTATGGACTTACCCTATACGGCTATACCTACTACCTATAAGTTAACAATAACAATAGTGCATAAGTATAATACAATTTTATATAATACTAGCTGTATAACCTGACTTCACCCCGGAAAAAATGAACAAATATAAAATACTGTGCCTATGGTGGTGTATATCTCGAATTTAGTGTACCTCAGTTCTCGGGAAAATCGGTGTCGGTGGTGTACCTATAGCTTTGTGAACTCATCTAACCGATATGGGCAATCCACCTGTGGTGGATTGGTTATAGCTATCGCACTTGGTATTTTATTTTCGAACGTGGTTCAAATATTACTCTCTAAACCTTTCTAAATTCTCTATAAACAAACTCTGAAATTTGCTTAAAAGTTAGTCGGCTTTCCTGTGGTGTCAAATAACTTTCTGTTTGTATATAGGATTTTAGAATAGTTTTAATTTTACTAATTTCGACAAAAACATAAATTTATGTAAAATTGTGCAATTTTATAATACAGCTTATCCAATTTTAATATGTGAACAATGTATATAATAGCCTAATTAACGAATGCCAGGTATTTAACTTTATTCACACATTATGTATATAATATTAGTACCAGTTACCTACCTACCTAATATTCTCGGCTCCGAGAAACACTAAACAATTAGTGTAATCCTATGCGTATAAAAACATTATTGCAGACGTCCTGTTATTAATGATGATATTAGGTAATAATTTTGAACTTATTGAAACCTTCACTTTGAACATCGTATTAATGAACACTATATTTTCAGTGTGCCACTTCATTGCCTGAAACACAATATGCTTTTTAGTATACATATGTTGAATTATTGTTTGTGAATATACAACACAGAAGATACAATAATGAGTATAATATGCGATAATATAGATTAAAATTTGTTTTTATTCATTTTTCTTTCAACGTATTTTTTATTGTTAACTATATATACCAAATCAAGGGCATACAAGTCAACGGTTGAAAAGAGGATACCTATTATGCAGTGAATAAAAGTATTCAAGGTCGTATCATTATGCTACTTACCTGTGTATTTTTTTACATTAAATTTGTAGAGGTGAAGGTCGAGGAGAGTTTTCGCTTTCAATATTATGTACTCGGTAGAACAGAGTGACACAAAATATGTGACATAATAATATTAGGTACTAACCAATATCGATAAGCGCGTTTGGCAAGGCTAAAAATGGACTGCAAAGTTTAAGTCATTTAAAATTTCTATATAGGTAACTACTAACTATTCATTATTGCTATTTGCTTCTACTATTCTCAGGTCTATAAACTTGTTAGCACCCACATGCGTTCTCAGCTTGCATTAGCTTGTGCCGTGTGTGTTTATACACCACAAATGGATGTGTTATTCTTGTAGTTAATCTATATTCACAACACCGTGACCAAAAATTTCAGTTGATATATTACGCACAGTTTCGACTACACGAATAGTGTGTTAATGTGTTAATAGAATATTGTTTATTACCTGCAGTTATTAACGTGCACATCCACGACATAAATAATATTATATAGGTGTACTTTTTTAATCTATAATTATATTATATTATTATTACCTACGTTTTATGTAGTTCCTCTCGAGGTTACTACATTAGTGTATACACTTTATCATGTGGATATTTCAATTTATGAGTCAATACTATAGGAAGGTATATATAATATGCATTATGTACTCAGTACCTACACCATAATATGTATATATACATTATATCGATATTATATTATGTACAATGTTACTCTATAGTTCCACCGTTCCACGATTTCACAGTAACGCAATGTATAATATAATATATGTTTGTGTGTGTGTGTGTGTGTGTGTGTGTGTATGTGTGTGTGTGAATAATGTATAATATAATATTATGCATATTATACGAGTACACATGTATACAGCATTATATCGTTGCTATTTTCGAAAAACATCGCTCATTGCTGTGGTATTTGCTGTAACGTGTGTATGTGAAATGGTCGTCGTGCATTAATGCATAAAAAAAAATCGCACGCCGATTATCTTTGTCACTCATACATCCTATATGTTATACGGTAATTTGCCAAGAAAAGGTTTAAATGAGATAAATATAACAATAGTATAGCGTTTGATTTTAATATACATCGAATATGTCTCGATTCTAGTTTATTTTTTCATCATATAATATTATACTACAGTCGAGTATAGTCGCAGAAATCCATATGCAGTATGTGTTGCCGCTGTATTTGTATCTCTGATGAAAAATCAAAAGGACATACAACACAACACTACAACAGTAGTCTCTGCTTATCGGACTTACGATTAATAATTGACTTATTCGCCTATTGGACTCAAACAGGCTGGTCCCAATTTCTAAGCCTATACACTTCCTATGTATTAACATAGGAAAAAGTTCGTCTATTGGACTCACTATGTATATACTGATTAATGGAGGGGGCCGATGAATATATATTATTTTCCACATACTACATTTATCCGATTTTATTGCATATATATTTTGCTTATAAATTCGATTTATTCGATTCATTACGTCGAAATGAATATTTAACTTCTTCAAAATTTTTTATTTTTTATTTTTTAATATAATTTGAAGTCGTAACGACACCACATTTTTCCCATACGAATGACAACGTATAGTAGGTTGATACTTGATACATACATATGAAATACCTAGATAAATAAAAACATATAACAATACAAATATACAATAAGTCAATAACACATACCACATTCGTACACAACAACCTGTAGGTAGAAATTCGATCGTACTTTTCCATTACTCGATCAAATTGTCACAAAGTGTAAAATGTATATTATCATATAGGGAGGTACAATAGCATACGCGCATTATTTTTGAACCATATGTTCATCATACATTGTTTGCATGTATACATAATTATAAGTTTTATAATTTATACCATGACGGGTAGTTAAGCTCTTCCCTCGCTGCGCCCTTCCTTTTCATATACTGGACAAACCGTAGTTAATAGTTATGTAATATTACTTATTGTACCTAATATGTATAATATGTGTGTACCTATATATTATTCAGCTAAACTCCTGAATTCACATAATATCGATATAACGATTTAGATATAAGAATCATATTTTCCTACATTTAAGCTGTATTTCTTATGTATTTATTCTTAATGTCTATAATATTTTGTTCGTTTGATTACAGGTTTAAGATTGGACAATAATATGTCACTGGGTTCAATGGGTCCGCAGTCACCTCTAGACCTCAAACCCGACACGGCAACTCTAATGGTTAATTTCAGCCCTCCGGGAGCTCCTCTAAGTCCTGCAGGGTAAGCATAGTTCATATTCAATAAATAATTTGACTGTACTTATCATATTCATTTTTCAAAATTTATTTCGTTTACCCGTGGATTAGAAGTGGAAATGTGGTGCCGTGGTGGTTATATTACATTTTGATTACAAATATTAAAAACAGATTAAACTAAATTATTTATGGTTATTGCTTTATTATATGTATTAATTACTATTGATTATGATAGTTATTACTTATTACTTATTAGTTATTACATTAGAAATAATTGTGCAATTATTTTTACTAGTCTCGACATGAACTCTCGACCCGATGTAATCTGACAGCATTTATTTCAAAAGGAATGAACTTGTTACTTGTAACAAACCAAACATCTCTTATTTCATTGCACCTATAATAGGTTTGTCCCATTGGCCATAATAATAATCCTACAATATGATAATACCTATATTATGCATCTATATGTACAATATAAAATCATGTGCGTATAGTCATATAGATTCTACTGGTTCTGGAATTCAAATATTTTTTATTCACGTGTAAAGTATAAAAAACATAATAGGCTTATGAAACGTTTTTTTTTCTCCATAGAAATCCTTATTTAACCTGACAAAATGTATTTAAAAAAAAAAAATAAACTTGTAATAAACCAAACATTTCTTATTTCGTTGTACTTAATGTCCGATTTTTTTTTTTGAAATATTATTACCATATTATACTATATTATTATGCATTTATATACAAAATAAAATCGTGTGCATACAGATTCTACTGGTTCCGAAACTCAAATTATTTTTTTTTCACGTGGAGTATAAGAGTAATAGGCTTTTATTTAAAACGTTTTTTTTTCCATAAAAATCCGGATTCTTGCGTTATTTATCTACTGATATATATAGGTATACCTCAAACATGAATAATATTTACATAAATTTAAGTATACCATGTATGTATAATATGTGTGTATACCTATCTAATCATAAAACCGGTCGATAAAAAACTGATAATTGTTCATTCCGATATAATATTCTCATTATCAAACTTTTTAATTAAATTCGTCTGATTCGATGCGTATGCGTTGGTATTTTAAAATGTATAATGTATATTATACAACAATATAGGTACACTCGTATACATTTACATTTAATTAAATAATATCTTATTTTTCCGTGAAAATCCGTCCTACCATATTATTATAGTGTAAATATTGAATACTAAATATTATCTAATATTCCGCTGAACTCGATGTACATATTATTAACTTTATCAATAATGCGCCGTCGACGTGTAACAAACATAAATGACCTAATATTACAACCAATATAATCGTCATTGTTGTGTTTATACGATTTTTTTTTTCACTAACAAGCCGTATTCATCAATTATTTCATTCCGTTATATTTCGCAATGCTCTCGCAGTGTGCACGTCTCAGTTGTAAATTAATTTTTGCATAGTAGGTACATATTTCAGTGTACGTAGTGTATATCACAGTAAATCAAAGACAAACATTTATTTTGGCTGACAAAATATATTTTGTGCTCGTTTATCATAATATTGTTTGTATTGTACAAAGTATATATTATTTTAATAGTGTGTTTAGTCTTCGGTGTGGTTATACCTACTCGATGTTCGGTCCAAATAGTGTCTTTCAACGATTATTATTATTTTTTTTACGTTAAATTGAAGAGTTTTCGAAGACGTTTAAAATGTATTCCAACTCGTACACCATGTATTCAAGTGACAGGTAAATTTTAATGATGGTTTGGTTTAACACATTGTATGAAACTTGAACATTGGACGGAACGTATATGAAAGTATTTTTATATTTGTTTATCGTTTTTAATAAAAATACGTTATTACTAAGCGCTCTATAGGTATTTCTATCGGCGTGACTGAGATTTAGAAGTTACAGAGGTTATGCTAGCTCTGCAATATCGAAATCGATAATTAATATAATATTATATGTAGAGGCGTATACAGTGTGGTTGAATAAAAATAGTAAATTTGTAGAAAATCTTTCTAATTGCTTCCAGTGTTGTGAAATCATGTGTGAAGTATGAAATACCTCGCGAGGTGCCAATTATGACGTTTATTGCATCTGAGTAAGATTTATGTACTCTGATAGTAACATTTTGAAAGAAATACCTTATGAGTTTTAACTTCAACCATAATTATTTTTAAATATAGGTAATGACTATTAGAAACCAGGTAATTTTTTTAGTACCCTTATTCTCTATTATATAGTATTTATTTTATTCTATTGTATTAGCATTATAGTCTGTCATCTACCTACTTCTTTTCAATTTTATCACTTGACTATTATAATTGTAAGCCATAAACAAGTGATAAACTGCGGTATGTGTACTTTATTTGTGATATAAAATTATATATTAATGTTGCAAGTCTACACGTATACAATATATTATAGCAAAAATGTAAAAAGTAAAAAGCTCTCATCGGTACTTAATAAATAGATACTGTTCTTTTTCTTTGACAATTCCATTGTGATTCATTAGTAGTTACCTATATCACTCAAGTATATAAGAATGTTTAACATGTAGTATTGACTATAGTAAAATAATTGTTAAATAGGTTAGATTACTAATTTACTATAAATACACAGTAGAATATACATAGTTGTCAATATGATGTGATTGATTTCTATAAGTAAAAATGTCTGCATGTTTAGATTTCAAATATCATTGCTATTGCAGAGTCAACTATAATTTAGTTTTTTTTAAATATGCACAGTTGTGACTTTTTTAGTTTTAAATAAAATGTCTCAATTACCTTTGTATAAGAGTATAAGAGTTCAAAATATTTGGTGATGTATTATATTTAAAAAGTGTAGTACTGTAATTATAATATGATTATACATCATAAGCATACTTTTGTTTTTTTTAGCAATTAGATTATGTAATATAATTGCTTTTATGTAAAATGTTAAAATGTTTAATGTATAAACTTTAGCTTTTGGCAGACATTTTGTGGTAAACTTAATTTTTGGTAAGTCCATATTTTTCTGATATAGAACATTTTTTTATATAACTTTTTAAAAAGGCTATATAAGTAGGCGATGACAGACATTTAACCGTTTAATACTCATAGCATATAGAGTACCTATTGCCTACTATAGTTCAATCCATTATCCTCTTTTGCAATTATTAAGTTAATAGCCCACTATTTCTGCATTTTTAATGTTTTTATTTTAAAGTTTGTTGCAAATTAATTGTAACAGTTATCAAAATAAAAAATTGGCTGTACTAATTGTATAGAATTATAGTACCTTTTATATTTATTATAAATTATAATCAATAGTATTAGCAACAAGCTACATGTCTGAAATATAAATTTAGTTTTTGGATTAAAAGTATGTGTTTTCTTATACTTAGGTATATGTATAGTTTCATTAAATTTTCTATTGGTAACATACAATAGAAAATATTGTTACCCATAGAACAATTTTGCTAAGGCCCATTGATAACAAAATAGTGTATAAAAACATAAACTACCCACTGTGCCATGGGATAAACATCACTTCGCAGAGATGGTCAATTTATAGTCTTAAATGCAACCTCGCAACAAACATCTATAATACGTATCTAAGATATTCTAAATTAATAGAATTTAACTTCTAAAATATAATATCCATGCAATGTATTATGAACGTAACAAAAATGATTAAAAAATTGGTAACAACATTCATATCCAATGGATTTCAAAGAAAGGATGTACATGTTACTTCCATTGTTACATCTCATAGAAATCATACTGAGTATAATATGTATAATACATTTCAAACTTCTCAGCTACATTTAAGTGTGATCACCAGGGCTCGTAACTTCATGCACTAAAAAATTCATAAATAAGCATGCATTCATGCACTAAAAATTGTCAAAATATGCATTAAAATATGCACTTAAAAGTTCAATAATATGCATTTATATGCATTAACATTTTTAAATTATGCACTCAAAATATGCATTATGTAAAAGAAACATGACCAAATTTTAAAATAATAAGAATAAATCCATACATTTTAAAAGTATTTTATTCCTTTTAATTTTTATATATTTAACAGTCAAAATTAATAAAATAAAAAATAAAATTAATACTTGTGAAGTTCAAATAGCTTTGTCATCTTTATAAATTTTAATTAGGTAGTCAATTTTGTCTAATTTGTGTACACCCTTATTCAGCACCAACAATGAAAACATTTGGAATGAAATATTAGGTTTTTCATTTTGAGATAATTTAGTAATATATAATATTTTATAAGTGTTTTTTTTATGTTTTCCAACAAGAGGGCGCATTAGTAGACAAAATATGGCATAAAACCATGGTTTCGTAATTCAAGTAATACGGCTTATTGGAGTGGTTTACAGTAAAAATACCTATTATAAAAATTGTAAAGTATAGAACTTTTTTTACAATCGTGAGAAGCCTGATTTTTGATATTTTTATTAATTAGATAAATAATTACTCAATAAAAAATTAAAAAACCGTTATAATTTACCATGCGATATTGGACGATTGGAACAAGATATCAAAAATCGGAAGAAACTTTTCAAATATTTGTCTAAAAAATATTTTTATGAAATAATATGCACTAACGACTGTAAAAAATCAACTATATGCCAAATATGACTTTACACCCAAAACATGCAAAAACATGCACTATCAAACTTCATATTATTATTACTATTGTTATGAAACAGATTTGTATCTCAGTTAGCATGTTTTCCTGTGTGGCAAAGAAAACATGCAGATGCATGAACTTACGAGCCCTGGTGATCACCATACGAGGTATATATTAGATGTAGCAGAGATTTATATGGAATAGTGCAAAATTAGAAATTTAGTGAATCGCATACACATCGCATGGAGGTTATTTCAGTTAAAAAATTATTATTATTATTAAATGCATATTGCGCGTATCGAACTTCCCAGCGATAGCTATGCGAGGTTTATAACCACGCTCCTATAACTGTCTGTTTATTATCGTAAACATAACCTCTATGGCTCTATGTCCATAATATTTTTTTATGAATAATTGATGAGTCTATCATAAAAAAACTATCATTTGGCTACCTATAAAGCTGGTACAGTTTGTTTAAAGGTTATACCTATTTATTAATATAATAATTACCCACCTACTATAGGTACCTCTTAGTATTATTATTATCTTTGTAACTGGCGACGAAGACTAACCAATACGCGTTTAACGGTTTACGCCTGTCTGTTTAACACCTATAATAGTGTCGTTTTAGTTTTTTATTATTTTTACCTATACAGCTATACGGCATTATGGATGAACAAAATAATACAATTAACGAGAAGACTAAGGTAAATATGAATATTCATTACCTATCTGGTTATCTAATAATATCCTACCAGGTGATTATTTTATCATGAACCACTCATTATTTGAAAAATTACTAAAATATTGAAATTTTTTTTACCTACATAATTATTATTCATTAAAAAACAATATATTTTTTAAAACTTTTTTATTACATTTTTATTTTTTTATCAAAGGGGTTTTTTACTATTTTTAGTTAAAAAACTTAAAAAACCTAAAGAAGTTAAAAAGTTAAAAAGTTAAAAAATGTTAAAAAATTATTTTTAATGACATTAAGTTAGGTAAAATAAATATTAGTTTTTGTAATTATGAGTGGTTTATGATAAAAAAATTACCTGTTATTATACCTACTTAATTATAATTATATATAACTATTATGTATTAATTGTTTTATAATTAATTTGGTCATATAATATTGATGGCATACACAAATTGTATGCCATTGTTGAGGTACCTCAACATATTTCAATGGGTAGGTACTTATTGTTCTGTTTTGTATCAATAAGCAGAAATAATTTTAAATTTTCCAAATTTATCATTGATATTGATAATATAATATTATGTATAATTTATTATAATAAGTATCTACCTAAATATATTAAACATTTATAAACTATACATTAAAATTTATAATTCTATAGGTGGTAGGTATGTTGAATTGTTTTTATTATATACAATTATTATTATTTGCATCTATGTAATAATTTACTGACAATGATTTTAGTATGTAATAGGGTACTTTGAATCTGAAAATAAATATTCAGTACTGCCTATTAATTGGCTTAAGAAATCTAAGACAGGTCATCTAAATTGTTTTTGGCCCAAAAATAGAGTTACAACGATGACAATTATGCAAGGCCCAAAGCCCTCTTCAAATTGGTCTATACATCCTGTAAAAGTTTTAGAACAATTTGGTAAGTTTCAGTTTTCTAAAATTGTATTCAAAATAATAGTTGAATAAAACATATAATTATTAGGTAGAAATAGCTGGTCTATTATATATTTTGTTTAAATTTAGAAAATTATGAATCAGCAGCTGCAAAAGAGATAGCAATCTATATATCATCCAGTGCTGAGTCACAAAATGAATCAGATAGTAATATGTCAGTATCTGATAGAGAAAAAAATGATGATAATTCTAGTAAGTAGAAATAGTTGGTATATAATAATCAATAATAAAGCATTAAGCTTTCAGCCCAATTCCAGGTGCATTATTTTTGATGGTAGAGGTACCCCTAATATTGAGTCAAAATTAAATCTATAAAATATAATATATTGGTATTTTTTTTGCCTTTTTATTTATTGCCAGGTAGTTGCATAGGTACCTGTTACTATAGTGATATACCATAACTATCAAGTATAATATGCAGTGATCTGGTAATAACTATTTTAAAATGGACTGCAAATATTTTGGCACCATAGTACATAATTAAAAAACTGAAATGATGTACTTGTTTAATTAAAATATTCATTATTCATAGATAAATAGGTAAATAAAAGTAAATTATTATTATTATATAGGCTCGAGCAGTGATGAAGATATAATAAATGTAAAAAAGAAAGCAAAAACAAATACATCACATTCAAATTACAATGCTAACTGTATATCATGTAAGAAGAGTTTGTTTCATTATTATTTTCAACTTAATATTTTAATTTAAATTGTTACTTATAGCTGCTTTGAAAACATTATATGAAAATGGCTCAACATCATACAACAACGATAACTTTACACGTAATATCTCCATTATTATTATTTTTTTTTTTAATTCATGAATGCATAATATACATATAATAATATTTTATATTATATATAAAAGTGCTTGGTATAAAACTTAACAATATATATTTTTATAGTTTATAATTAAAATTATTTAAACTTTTTTATTCCTTAATAGAACATATTTTAAATCCTGAAGCATCTACAAAAGTAAATCAAATTCCGGCGACTGAAGTCAATTTAAATAATGCTGATTCATTATCTCATAATAACAATTTACTAACAAATCAAATGTATACTTATAATAATTTTGACATTTCAAATTCTGCAATACAATCATCACAAGGAAGAAATAATTTGATGCCAATCGGTTCAAGTAAATGGAATAATAATATGTTTTATTGAATATTTCTTCTGCTAATAATTATGATTTAATTTAATAAGGTATCAACACTAAATCCCCAACGGCTTTTGGGCAAAACTTTGATTTTGATAATTTACCTGGTAATTACAATATTTACTTGTATCTAGGAATATATAAGAATAAATTCTATAATTTACAGTATTTTATGTTACATTTAAATGTATGGACATATAGATTTTTTAATTTATATATGATAATTCTTTATTTAAATATTTTTTTATATTTTTTAGTTATACTGTTCAAATACAAAACTGATATGTATTTTATTATTTAAATGAAATCTGTCATCATTTATAGATTTAGAAAATATTGGATACGACCAAAGAAAAATAGAGGATACAAATCTAAATCTGTACTTAACCAGAATAGATAAAAAATTAGATATTATTTTAGATATTCTTAAACATCATCCTGCAACTTCAAATCACTCTTCTTCAATAGATACAACATTTTTAGATAAATTCCCTATAAATGATGTTGAGACTTTGAAAAATGTAGATGAAATGTTTAAAACAGATCAGGAGTATTTGACAAAATTGGTAATAAAACAAAATACCTACCTAAATTGTATTATTTACAAACAATAAGATAAACTATTTTATTTTATTTTAGACAAATCTGATTTCTTCAATTGGTGGCTCGAGTGCAAAAAATTTTATTAAACGTGTTTTATCAAAAATATTTACTAACGAACTCGCTTCTAAATGTTCCTGGACAGGGCAGAAGCAAAACTTTCGCTTGGACAATTTAATGATAATACAAACTATGAAAAGTAATAAGTCGTTATACATTAATATTTTTTTAAATTCTATATAATATTATATAGAATTTAAAAAACATATTATGTATTAACATATTATTTAGTTGTAAGGCTGTTTTATAGGTAATAGTTAGGTCACTATTACTGACATTTAATTTTAATTTTAAATAACCAATTATTCTCACTTTTTAAGGTGAATTTAAAATAAATTAATTTAAGCATGAATTTATATTATGTAGATATTTTTAAACAAATAATACAGTTTTTTATTCGGTACATTTTATTGGTGATAGCATCTCTGAATGTATTTTTTATGCACCAACATTTATAATTTTTAAAATCATGATTTTCCCACACAGGACTTAGTCACGAACTTTATAAAAATGATGAGAATACTTTTGAGTTGCTGATTAAAGAATGGTTCAGGCATGGGGCCCAGCGCTTAAAGAGAGCTGTTATCGTAGGTATGTGTATGTTAAAATATATTAAAAAATGTATTAAACAATTTATAAATGTTTTTTTTTTTAAATAACTAAAATCTAAAATAACTAGGTATCATTAATAAAATTACACTGCTGTGGATAAAAATATATAATATGACTAAATTAATTATAATTATGTAGGTACCTAATATTGATTGCTTTTAAATTGGTTATATTTTAAACTAACTAATATATTACCTTTTAGTATAATTTATATATTATTTTTTTTTTTATTATTATTACAGATTCCTCGAAAGAAGCGGAAACAAATTGAAAATATGTCTCTTCGTCACTTCAAGCGACTGCTTGGTACTACTGACCCTGGAAAATCTGCTCGTTTTAGTGCGCCAAAAGCTCAAGGCTCATTAATTAAAAAGGTATGTCTATCTCCAACAACAACAGCAACAACAACAACAACAATAATACACAATCAATATCCCAATGTAGAATCTATTGAAAATGATAAACTTTATTCAAGTACTGATGCACATATTGGTTTTGAGTTTTTAAATGAATTTGACATATTACCTGAATCAGAACTACAATCAAAAATGCCTATTACATGCAGTAGCCATGTTGAAATAGTTCCAGGGTATGTTCCTAATATAAAAGAAAAACTCCAACAGTGGGTTTTAGAATCTAATACATCAAAAAATAATGTTAATAAACTGTTGAAAATTTTGCGATCAGAAGGATTAGATTTACCCACTGATGTTAGAACTTTAATGAATACACCTAGATCTCATACAATAGTAGAAATACCTCCAGGGATATACATTCATTTTGGATTAAAAAAAATGTTGCTATATTTTATAGACACCCATAAACATATCTTAGACAATTTCAATGAAATTAATTTAAGCATAAATAGTGATGGATTACCCTTATCAAAAAGTTCAAGGCAACAGTTTTGGCCAATACTTTGTGTAATATCTAATGTTCCTCAATTATCCCAAGTAGTTTTTGCAATAGGTATATATTATAGTAACGAAAAGAAACCAGAATCCATTGAAAGTTATTTAAATATGTTTGTTAGTGAAACTGTTGAGTTAATAAATAGTGGAATTAAAGTTGGCAATAAAATTATGAATGTAAATGTTAGTAATGTGATATGTGATTCTCCGGCTAGGGCGTTTCTTTTAAATGTGAAAGGGCATAATTCACGTGTGGGCTGTAACACATGTACTGAGGAAGGAGTATTTAAGGATAGAAGGATGACATTTTTGGGTGTAAATAGCCCATTGAGAACTGATACTACCTTTAGAAGTAGGTCTGATGAAGAATATCACAAAGGGTTTAGTCCATTAGAACTCTTACCCATTGATATGATTAAAGATATACCATCAGATTATTTGCATGTAGTTCTTTTAGGGGTGATGAAAAGACTATTAAAATTTTGGGTTAGGGGAAAAAAATCTGTGAGATTACCTATAGATAAGCTGAATGATTGTGATTCTGAGTTAAGCAGTTTGAGAGATTACTTTCCATCAGAGTTTGTTAGATTACCAAGAGGACTAAACGATATAGAAAACTATAAAGGTACTGAATTAAGAAATATGTTGTTGTATACAGGCCAAATAATATTTAAAGGAAGGCTAAACAAATCATTTTATTTACATTTTCTTAAACTACAATGCGCTATTAAAATATTAGTTACTCCAGACATATGCATAACTGAAAATGACTTGGCTTATAAATTACTAATTGAATTTGTTACAGAATATCGAACTATTTATGGGGCATCATTTATAACCTATAATGTCCATAACTTAATACATTTACCATTTTACGTTAAAAAACATGGGTGCCTAGATAACTTTTGTGCTTTCAAATTTGAAAATTACTTAGGAATTATAAAAAAAAAAATTAGCCACTCTCGTTATCCTCTACAAGAGGCTGCTAACAGAATAACAGAAAAAATGAATATTTTAAACACATTAATTGTAAATGAAAATTATAAACTGGGTAAAGAATGTGAAATGGATATTAAATCCATAATAATAGCTAATAATCAAGGATATACATTTTACGAATCAATTACTTTAAATTCTACAAATTACTATATAAGCACAAAAGATCCCAAAAATAACTATATTATGTTAAAAACTCATGAAATTGCCTCAGTAAAACATATTGTTAAATCTAAAGATGGGCATATTTTTCTGATGGTCTGTAATTTTAAATCATTACCTTATTTTGATGTTCCAATTCCATCTGATATAATAGGTACAGTAATAGTTGATCTTAATTCACAGTCAAGTTTAGTACAATTAAGTTTAAATGACATAAAATATAAATGTTTTTTTGTTAATGTATCAGAAAATAAGGCTATTGCCATGACTTTAAGTCATAATACATTTATTTGATGGAAATATAATATGTATAAAACATAATAAAAATATTTATTTAAATATTTTGTTGTTTTTCAGAATGATCAATTTGACAGTGAACTAAATTATAATAATTATACCTATTGCAACAGTACTTTATTTTTTTTTTTTTTATATATATACCTATTGCAACAGTACTTTATTTTTTTTATTATTATTAATATTATTTTTTTTTATATACATATACCTATTGCAACAGTACTGTATTTTTTTTATTATTATTAATATTATATATATTTTTTTTTTTATACCTATTGCAACAGTACGGTATTTTATTATTATTAATATTATATTTTTTTTTTATATACCTATTGCAACAGTACTGTAGTTTTTTTATTTTTATTAATTTTATAAATTTTTTTTATATACCTATTGAAACAGTGTTATTTTACATAAGGTATTACAGTTAATTATATAATTTTATTATTATGTTGTCAGTATTATAATAATTTGTGTACTACTATATATAGCTATATATATTAATATGTACTAAGTATAAAATATTATATTATATATATATTTCAATAAAAGTGATTATACTAACCAAATTGTGTATCATTTAATTAAAATTTTGTTTAATAAGAATAAAATATATTTTACCTAAAAAATCAAAAATGAACCACAAAAGTTAAATAATCAACATCAGAATTTTTTCAAGGGGAGAGTGGTTCATACTTGTTCAAATAGAGATTTAAATTCAAGCAAAAAATCTGGTATTATTTAAGTATAGTATGTACTAGTTTTCTAAAGAGGGGTTCAACCCGGGAAACCCCCTCCTATTGGTTGCGCCTATATGTGTAAATAGTGTTTGAAATTTGGGAGGGCTGTAGCTCAGGTCTATACTTGATACTCTTGTGATGCTTTTAAGTTATAGTTGTGAAATCATTAGTTTTTGGGGGGGGGCTATAGAAATTCTAGGGGCTAAGCCCCCTCCTATTTGTACCTATGAGCACAAATCAACATCTCAAGGTAGTTACAATGTGAACATTGCATAGTAGTTTAACTATCTCTATCTTAAGGTAGTAACAGATGAATGTTGCTTCGAGGTAATTTTATAGATGTACTATAGATGGTGAATGTGTGATGTACTATAGATGGTGAATGTGTGATGTTCTATAGATGGTGAATGTGTGATGGACTAGTGATGTTCAATTATAATATCACTCAACTGGGCGTTAGCATACCCAGGGATATCTTACAGAGATCACTGGGATGAAATAATGAACATCGCAAATCACAAAATAACCTCTCTTCGATGTCTCTAGGATTAAATATTGCACAGTGGGTATGACCATGACAAAAAACAGAGGTATATCAGCAGCAATACGTATTTGAATTTCGTTTGCGCATCCCACTTTTTTGTATATGTTAGGTTCTCCGATCTTCAGGCTTTGGTATATGCGACCAATGAGTGGTGGAGAACGTAACACACTGTAAAAAGTGGGGGATATGCGCATCACAATGTTGCTGACATATACCTATATACTTTGTCATGAGGAAGACGACGTATCGTGTAGGCAAAATAGCTACAATCTAAAATATTATTATCATGTAAAATGTACTTAAATAATGTTGTTTTAATATTATTGTAATACTGTTGTATTATTATAACATGCAAACTCATTGACCCGCGTCCGACGGTTAGAATAATAATAATGTGCTTAAGAAAACTAATTTCACCCCGTGGTTAAGACCCGTATTAAATCATCTCTTTAATTAGTCGTTCTTGTCGTCTGAAATGCGCGTTAATTGAAAACGTAAGGCGTTCCCGAGCACAGTATCATCTGAGCGTGGTAAGCTTTAATTTTACGATTGACGTAACCGGTACGCTACGTTCAACGTATTTAGTGCATTGCCGAAGCGAAGGGTGATGGGAAGAAAGAAAACAACGAAATACCTATATAACGCATCACTGGAATAAGGGTGAGAGAAAACTCCTACAAAGATTTAAATATCGAAAATCACCAGGTTGGTGGACAGTGAACACTAGAAAGTGATTTTTTAGTATTAAGGGGCCTGGTCGCGACGTGTTTTTTTGCTCAAAAACATGCCTTACAGGAAAAACTCTCACGCCTTGTTGATTGGTCCGATTTCCGTAATTTTTTTTTTGTTAAATAGAGAAAGACGTATTGCAGGGCGCATTGGACTTGGATTTTCAAAATTATTTTTCGAAATCTTATATTACAAGTTTGAATTTAATCAATTTTTACAACTTTTTAGTTTTTGTATCATTATTTATTTTTAGCAACGTAATCAAAAATCAAAGTCCAATGCGCCCTGTAAAAAATATTCTTCTATCTAACAAAAAAAAAATTACGGAAATCGGACCAATCTACGAGGTGTGAGAGTTTTTCCTGTAAACTGTGTTTTGACCGATATAATACACCCAATCAACCCCCCCCCCCCTAAATAGGTATTGGGTAGTTGATTAGTGGAAAAGTCTTATAATTGAGGTGGCAACTAAAATATAAAATTTAATTTTCAAATTTTATAGAATTGCGGAAAATTTGAAAAATCGCGACCAGGCCCCTTAATAATATATATTATTCCTTAGTACGTTCCCATATTGACTATGCCTCTTTAATTTGGCACTCTGATAGCATTTGTCAAAACCAGAGTTTATCTAGTATACAAAATAATTTTTTGACATATTTATCTTTTAAATGTCACTTTGAAAGACGTCCTCATTCTGGATATATTAATATTAGTATTTTTTTTTAATATTGCTCCTTTAAATAGTAGATTTAAAATTTCTTTTTAAACTATTACATAATTTAATTAATTGCCCAGAACTTTTAGGGCGTATTAATTTCAATGTAAATATAAAAAATTCAAGAAATAAACATCCTTTTTATTTATCTATTATTAAAACTAACTACATGTTATATTACTACCCTGCTATTATATTAATGTCATGTGGTAACTTTTTTAACAACTTGGACCCGTTCAATATGACTCTTAGCTCGTTAAATTGTCATTTTTAGATTATTACCTACTATTATATTAATTTTAATCGAATTGTTATATAATCAATTGTCTAACTTTTAATTTTTCTATATATATTATATACATATTATATTCTTTTTTTTTTTACCCACTTTTTTTCTCTCGTTCTTATATCATTTGTTTATTTTTTTAGTATAACACACACCTATGAAACTGTCATTATTTTTATTATTTTGAATTGGAATTTTATTCCGTTAATAAAATTATTATTATTATTATTATTATTATTAATATTAATATTATAATGTATAGTGTGTTAGTAAAAAAAAAAAAAATTGTTTAATGGAAAATAATTTTTTTTTTTGGTAAGTTTCCCGTAGTGGTGTTAGAAATTTGAAATTTGAACCACAGCTTCCTTATAACGGTATCGAGGAAAATATGAGTTCAGGAGTCTCAAATCATCCTTCTTGAACTTTTGCAAACTAAAAATAAGTGTATTTCGTACTTTTCCTCTCATAAATCAATACTTGCAGTTATTAACTATCGGTATAAAAAAATAAACCTTAAGATCGTGGTATAAGATCAGTGGTATAATAATTATGTTTTATGGCCTGTTATAAGACATCTTAATGATCGTTTTCTATATTTAACAATTTAATAATTGCTTGTGAATTTGATTCAAGTAGTTCAAAAATATATTTCTATAATTTATAATAATTGAAAATATTAGAAAATTAGAGGCAAAAATTATTTTCATACTAAATAATAATATTATATTATTAATTAGTTAACTTTAAAAAATAAAATGTCCACACCAAAAGACATTAAATGTCCTACTAAACAAAAACAGTCAGGGGGAAAATGTCCGAGGGGAGGAAATATCCACAATTCAAGATGGTGACAACAAATGTCGGAGTAACGTCTGGTGGAAGATATAAGCGCCAAAATGAGATGAGAAAAAAAATTGTGTATCGTACGAAAGCGCCAAAATCTGATATGTGTACCTGTGCGCTTATTAAATTTAGAACTATATATTATTATATTTCAGCAATTTATTATTGACACATTATTATAATGTGGAATATGGAAAAAAATCAACCGATTTATTAAAATCATAATTGTATAACTATTGCTTATTAACTTATATTATATTTATAGACAATTCGTTTTGGTGCAAATGATATGTCATGTTCGCACCTTTGGGGCTTCTGTCATACAGCCATGCCGTCGTCTTCTTAATCTCAAACAATCGATATCTCACTCATCCAAGACAGTGCATTATTAACGTGTTATCGTGTGCGTTCGGTTAAACCAAATCCGATAATGATATCGGTGCGGCGGCCACAATCTCTCGCACACTCATGAGACACCTGCCGGATCGTCGTTGTAACAGAGTTGTTCGATATTATCATAATTCCGATGGCGCTAATCCACTCCGATTCCGTCGTTCGTGTTCGTCATCCCGTGCACGCCGGAATAATAATTATGGCATCGAGTTAAATTAACAATTCCGTCTCGGGCAAGGCGTCGCCGTGAGATAAGCGACAATTAATTAGACCATTTATTTGCCGGCGAAAACCGTGTAATTATGTATTCATTCAAAAACGAGAGGGGTCCTAACAAGACTGCCGGCACGACGCAGAGGGAGGTGGAGAGGTGGAGAGGTAACCGGGTAGAGACGTTTTATCGGAGCTTAAAAGTTCAACTGGGCCGCCACGCCCATGACCTGTTTGATTTATTAAGGGAAATTGCCGTATCGCCTTTACCTTTGTCATTATTATTATTATTATTATTATTATTGTTGCTATTATTGTTGTGCGTGTGAATATCATAACGTAAACTTTGTATACACCTATACGATGGTTTATAATACTGCCGAACAAACGTTTTGAATTTACGGCATGCTGGAACGACGTTTAGTGGGTAATTGCCGAATTTAGTAGCTTTACGTATAATAATAATAACTATGATAATAATATCATGTGCGATTAGAGTGAATTTTGCGGAATAAAACAAGCACAAAATAATCA